ACTTAGAGCAACAAATACTATGTTCTCAATTAGGTTGTGGAAGTAATTCTCGTAGTCTCACTTGAATGCTTACAAAGAGACATGTATATAGTCTTTGGGTAAAAGTTCGTTCTGAAACAAACAGTTAACTCCCACTCGAGCTACCTTAGCCCTTTTTGAGCCACTTAGCTCCCACTAAGCCAGTGAACTCCTACTGAGCTAAGAGCCCTAGACATATACCTAAAAAGACTCTAGAAACTATTTCTTTCCATAACTAAATATGGTGTCCTTTCTTAGCTTCGACAATTTTGTTTTGTGTAACACTAGTCATTTGTGCAAATCTTCAAGAACTTTATAGGAAGTAAAGTGATCCATCATCATTCGAGTCATTTCCGAAGGGCATCAAGGTCTCCGTCAAGACATACTATATTCTTTCTGGAGCTAATTATGAAATTCCAATTTCATAACTTTGATATGATCACTCTTGGCTCAAGCAAACATCGCTCGATCTAATCTAGACGTTTTGATATATTGCCAAGTCGATTCTATTCTTCACTAAAATTTTGAGCTACTCAAGGTTCAGTTTGTTCACATTTGATGAATATAGCCATATTTTTTTCAAATTCTTATGAGACATTGAAGTAATAGAATTCTCTTTAGCTTTCGGAGTCAATTGTCTATACCAAGCACAATAGCTCCTTTCTTTGTCAATTTCAACAAGTAAGACTTGCTTAACTTAGAACGATTCTGAATCGATCAACTATCAAGAGTCTATCTAATAGCGCCTTGAGTGCATTCTTGTCAATGTGACATTGCTAAAAGATGTTTGGAACACAAATCATGTCCATGACTTGAACTTTGTGAGTTTTTATGTTAGGAATATGTTTGTTTATAATCTAGCATTCTTGACTCATGGCTTAGACAACCATGCCATTCAAATAAAACCCGCAACTGTTGCTCTTTTACTTTGAATGTGAGTCTTTCCGTGTGTAAACGGATCGCTTGCTGATTATGGAACATAATAACCATTATCCGTTCCACTCTTAGCTTAAAAGGTCTTTAAACAGAACAAATGACCTTACAACTGATGTAGCACTACTTGCTTCATTCTAAGCTTGTAAGTCAATAACTTAGCTCAACTTCAATGGTTTAGGGTCACTTTCAAAGTGGAACACTCAAGCAGTATCTGATACTTGTGAAAATAACAAGTTTCTAAGTTAACTACAATAACATGAACTCATGGGTAGAAAAGGAATCTTATCCCTTTTCTTTGTTCCTTGTTTCCTATATTTCTTATCATACATCATGTCATAACTTTAAGAACCATTTCTTTAAGTCTTTTTACTTTTACACTTTGTTAGGCATAATTAAGCATCTAATGCGCCGTAAAACAAAGTTCCATCTTTTCTTTAATTCATGCTTGAATTACTACATCAATGAGTCCTACTCATTAGTGTATGAAGCGAAAAGATATGTTGGTTGTCAACTATTGAAAATTTGAGTTTTTCAACTCAATACTTCATATTCATCAAAACTACCTAGTATTTTGAATACATGATATCCAACCGTCCTTTCAGACTTTAGTTATAAAAGTCATTTATGAGAGTTGTATTTTAAAAATGTTTTTCCTTTCTTTGAGAACCATCCTCAAAGATTTCCTTTACCAATCATTGAAAACAACATAATTTGATTAAGAATTCTACAAACATAAGTGCAAAGTATAACCATTTATCAAGATACTAACATAATAAGTTTGAAATTTAAAGCATATATGCAAATTTTCAATCTTATTACGCGTCTTATCCACGCATTAAAATTTGCTCCTTTTTCGGCGAGAATAAAACGATTACAAGATCCCAAAATCAAAAAGTGATTAATCATGCTTTGGCTTGTCTTAACACTTACTATTTTAGGGTAAGCAATCCAATTTCTAATAGCTCTAAGCTACTCTTGGTTCGATAAAACGTTGCATCTAATGCTTCCTTGACGTTTTATCTACATTGCCACGACATCTAAGGACTCCTTACTGATATCGTTGAGCTTAACCAAGACCAACTTGTATACCTAGTATACCTTACGTTCCTAGGGAAGTAGTGATGCCTCGCTTTGGCGTAGCCCATCACTACGCGCATTAGTTCGGTAAGTGTTGTTCTTGGAATGGCAAATTTGGCTCAATATTATAAAGACCAAGGGTTTCTATGTTAATTGATTTAAGTGAACTTAATTAATCGTCGCAACCTTCGAAATCCTAAACATGCATCTAACATATCATTCATATATATAAGCATAATAATAAATAGAAAACATAAGTAAAAGATGCATTTGGCAACTAGCATGACCCCTTGAGTCTTCGAGTCTCTAAGGGTCTTCGATGCATCCTCTTGGCTCGTCTTCTTAGAAACGCAGTCTTTGAGACATCTCCACCAAATATGAAACTACTAGTTATTATGGTTAGGGCTAATCTAAATATTAAGGTACAAAAAACGCAACGGTATGTAGACCGTATTTAGATTTACAAAAATACAATACAGATCACAGTCTGTATTTACTATCCTGATCGGGCCCCACTAGTTACCATTTTCACAAAACCTGTGATACAATATACATTACATTCATCCATTCACTATTTGTGAATGGCCCATGCATTTTACAACGAAAAACAAGTAACAATGCGTAACACGCGCAAACTAGTAACTAACTTAGGTTGTTAATTCGATTAACGCGCCTAACTAAAACTAGTCAAAGTTGTTAACCAATTATGTGATTAAAACACAATAAAAAAATTAGCTCAAATAATTAATGAAGCTGCCACTAAATTCCACATCCAACTTAATTAATCCAATTAATTAAGCTGGTTAACCCAAATTTTGCTAAATTATTTTAAAAGTGCCGGCAAAATCGAGGCCTAGCCTCGTTAAATAATTAAATAAAATTATTAAAATGGCAAAGAACGCAAAATTGTATAGCCCCTCGATGCCCGAGTTCCTACCACCAAGCCCCGAGGCTCGATGTGCTAGGCACCAAGGTGTGGCGCCATGCATGGCTGCTACCCCTCGCACACCCCTTGCTGCGTCAAGCACGTGGGAGTGGCTGACAGCATCGCTTGCGCGTGATGCTGGCCACATCAGTGTGCTTGCGTGCAAGCAAGACATCATCTCAAAGGCCCTAGAGTGTGCGGGGTTACTAGGCACCAAGGCCTTGACATTACGCGCATGGGATGCTGGCATGCCTAGCTAGCAGCGCATGCCTAGCTAGCAGCGCATGCCATCCCAGCTAGCACCAGCAGCCTCGACGCATGCTAGCACATTGCTGGCGCTGGCAGCGAGTAGTTGGCTTGCTAGCACTCGCAAGCCTCGCTGCCTGGCAGCACTTACGGGATGGCTCCAACTCCACGCAACACCCCACATCACAGCACATGCACTCCTATCACAGCACCAAGTGTGCACCATGCTCGCACACACCACACAATAGTGGACCATTGTAGCATGGCAGCCTACACACGCACCTTGGCAGCCACATCTGGGCTGCGTGAGCAGCCCAGCTAGCCGAAGGGTGTCCATTTGGGCAGTCTGTGCCTCGATTTGCATGCACTTATCTCTTGATTTTAATCCTGATTTATGTGTGATAAAAATTAATTCTAAATTTACTTTAGAACCAATTTTGAGCAAAAAGAAAATAAAACAAGCCCAACTTAAATAAATTCATTTTTAGTGCAGAAACCAAAATCAGTTTAAGAACCATTCTTTACATTATTTTGGTTCATCTTGATGCTACAAAATTGAAGGGATATACTCCCAATTAATTTAACCATACATAAATTAATAATGAGATTTGGCAAAATTAAATGGGGTTGGAAAAATGAACCTATTCATCTAATGAAAAAATTTCCAACACTAACTTGTGTAAAATTGAAAAATTACATCTTCCAATATGAAGATTAATTAAATTTCATTTCAAGTTTTGAACTTTCAAAACTTTAATCAACTCAAAAATGATTGAATCCAAAAATTAGTTCAACATGGAATTTAGAAAGTAAGGTTCCAACCAAATAAACAATTAAAGATTAGATCTTTAACATTTTTAAGGGACTTCAAAATTACAAATTCACCATAAACGTTCACACTTGAAGCAATTGATTTGCAAAAATGTGAAATTTCAAGTTTATGTGAAAAATGAGCTCACCAAATTAAGCACCACATATGACTTCATAAACATGTTTAATAAGGTTTATTATTGCAGTAGATTAGTGATGCAACCATACATAAAATCTACCTTTAACATGCCATAATTAATGAAGGTTTAAAGATTTAAATTTTTTTGTCAAAAACGAAAAACCCCTTGAAAAATATGTATTTGGGTGGATTTTGGCTTCTAGACAGCCCTCAAATAGGGCTCAAAACGATTTAGAAAATCGATTCCACCCAAAATTCACTATTTTGGGTCGAAATCTGGGTTCGTGAGCTAAAATTAGTATAAATACGAGATTAAAACTAATTAAAACGAGATTCTAATCTAATTAGAAAGCAAAACCAGAAATTTAATTCCATTTTAAATCACCTCAATTAATTATTAGTTATAATAATTAAAATGAGCGCGGCTCTGATACCGCTGTTAGGTTTCGTAATGTCCGATACTACGCGAAATGAAACCTGCCCAAGACCCGTACACTAATTAATGTAACTAAACATGCAATCACATAATTAAACAACAAAAGAGAGAGAAAGAAAAAGGATGATCTTAGCCTCGACGCGTGCTTCGCTCGCTTACGAGCTTTTACTTGAAAGCTCTAGCTTCGCAAGTGCGTAAGCCTCTGACGGCTCGCACCCTCGACCCGACCCGAGCGGTCTCTACCCCGAAGGTTATTCGGGGCTAGACCAAGTAAATACTAGAGTATTACGAACTTAAAGGTTTTCTCACTTATAGGGAGATGCCTTATTGAGTTCAACTCAAGTGCTTTTTCCCAAACCCAAAACATGGGTATTTATTGATGTTACAGCTTAATCTTGACTGAACCCTTCGGGTCGCACCCCAATCGAGTAATTGATCAGAGACGACGAATCAATTCGAAGGATCAATACCTGATGCAACGACAACATTATTGATGTGGCATTAGCTATAATACCTATTGCCACGGTTTCCTATATCTAATGCCACGGTGCATATACCCTAATGTCACGGTTCCCTATACCTAATGCCTTACAATGCATACACCCTAATGCCACGGTTCACTATACCTAATGCCAATAATAATAATAATAATAATAATAATAATAATAATAATAATAATACAATTTAAATCAAAATTTTCAAAAAAAAAAAAAGATTAGAATTTTATTAATATGAATTCAAAGTTTGTACATTGTTATCTATAAGGAAAATTACAAAATTAAATTATCACTAGTTAAACAAAAAAAAAAAAAAAAAAAAAAAAAAAAAAAAAAAAAAACACACAATTATCATTTCTTTCTCTTGCTTCTCCAATTTCTCGTAAAGCAATTCATGAAGCATCTTCTTCAACTTCAGTATTATCCACCTCCTGCAATTGGTACACAAAGGGTAAGGCATAAGCTTTTATAGGAAACTTAAAAGGTGTATTGCCTATCTATTGGCCTAAAGGGAGTTAGACTAGCTCACTGATCAAATCGGTAAGGGGTCAATTAAGTTGGGTATCTTGGCTACTTGGATTAGGGTGATTCTATGCCTGCATTTCAATGTTTTGGAAGCAGAATTATAATTGCAGCACCTTATGCTTTTTGATATACAATGAAAGGTCTCGCAGGCGAAAACCCCAGTTATGGGAGAAGGCAGAAGCCCTATTGAAAGATTTCCCTTAGAAAGTACTGGACAATTGACTTGGGATAAGTAAAAGTCATCTTCCCTAGGAAGAACTAACTAAGAAACTAAAACATTAATACTGTTTCTAGCCAACAGGTTACAATACATAACCAAAAGTTACAACCACACTAGACAAATTCGGATACTTAAAAAATGGGCAAAGCTATAACTATATCAGAATGGGAATTTTCTCGGTCATCGTAGCTAGTAGTCGAATACATATAAACTTATGCAGTCTCGTACTTTCGTCTCGAGCCTGTACAAATTGGAAATATTACAATTCAAAATGTCTCATATGATATTATGATGAGAGTGGCTTCATATTGTTGTGTGGGTTTGCTACTGATAAGCTAGTGGTGGGTTTTAACCATTGAGACCGGCTGTTATGCTCTAGCCTCTAGCTTGCAAAGTGAAAACTTTTGCCCGAGAGTTAAGTCTTCTTTGAAGCCTAGAAACTTCTATCGATTTTAGGGATCTATCATTTGTTCTTCTTCTGTTTTTTTTTTTTTTTTTTTTTTGGGAAACATACTGTTTTGTTGCTGCTACTCCATGAGAGCTGTACTATGACGACTTATATAGAATCCATCCTATCTTAAAGAGTTTTGATGTATCATGATAGTGAATGTTATTTTTTTTCTTGCAAACAAATTCTTAAAACAGAGTTCATACACAAGACAGCTATAAAACAGAGTTCATACACAAGACAGCTATAAAACAGAGTTCATACACAAGACAGCCAGCCTGTTTCAATTCAAAACCTCTGTTCAAAAATTGAAACCAAATTGCCAAGGCAATGAATTGTTTAGCTGCCCTTGCAGGATTAACAATCACCCAATCATCCAAAAGAAGACACAAAGCTAGAACTAACCGTCAATCAATTTGCTTTCAAAATGTTCAAACATACTAATTTTCAACAAAATGAATGCCTACAAGATACTTCAATTTTCAGGGATAATAAGCTCCGAACAAATATCACAAAACCAATCAATAAAATGCAGTCCAATGAACTAAACCATTTGCATCCCCTATAAAGCAGCGTTTTTGACAGTAACCAATGAAGCTATCACACATTTAAAACACAAATGTACTAATAAAGTATTAACCTGAAGAAATGCAAAGGCACTTACATAATCCGGCAAGCAATATCCATGATCAATGGGAATGAGGACAGTCTGACCAGTCACTTTGTCCTTGTATACAATATATTCCTTGCATGCCTGTCTGCATTAGCCAACCTTATATCAAGCACAGAAATAGTGTTAGTACAAGTACCTTTACAATACTTAATATTGTATTTGTTTAAAAAAAAAAGCCAACAGAAACTTTAATTAGTCCAGAGACATCATCCTAAGTCATACCTGGCCCTACTCGAAGCAACATCAGCCATTCCATGATCTAAGTGGAACTCAGAAGATCCAGCAGAATTGGATCTTACGGTAGATACTATAACAATATCTGCTTCGCCACCTTCTTGAAACCCTTCAACTAAAAGTTTAAAAGCTTTTCATATCTTTTCCCAATTCTTCTCTCAATATCCTTAACTTTTGCTACACATTGAGATACTATACACACAAAAGTCTTTTGGTTGTAGCACTAAAAAAAAAAAAAAAAAAAAAAAAAAAAAAAAAAAAAACTGAACAGATCACGTATGATCAGAGCCCAAAGTAAAACAGGAGTAACGAACGGATGAGATAATAAAGTGTTAGAGATTCAAAGAATTCAACATAAGGTTGCTAAATTGAAAAACTTCCACTACCAACCATATTAATTAATGATGCAAAACATGGAAACTTCAGTTAACAAACCTGTTGAAGCCTAGGTAGACTTGACCGAATGTTTGGACTTTTTGAGACAATTGATCTGAATAGCCAATGTGAGAATGACTTAGATTTAGGTCCAAGGCAAGCAATAGACTTGAATTCAAAGGAATAGAAATATTCAGTGTGCATCTTTATTAGGTGCTTTTTAGTGGACCATTAAACTAGATTATTGGCCCCTAATTTAAGCAAGGTTATGTAGAGGAAATGGGACATGGGCTAAAAAAGTTTGGACTTTTTGAGACAATTGATCTGAATAGCCAATGTGAGAATGACTTAGATTTAGGTCCAAGGCAAGCAATATACTTGAATTCAAAGGAATAGAAATATCAGTGTGCATCTTTATTAGGTGCTTTTTAGTGGACCATTAAGCTAGATTATTGGCCCCTAATTTAAGTATAATATATCATATTGGAAAAAAGCTTTATAATAGACCAATCTCTAATCTTAACATCTATGTACATGTTTTGAGCAGATGTAAGAGCCACTTTAAGAATTTGAGCAACCCACACAAAGAATATACAACTTTGACGAACAAAAATAGCAGTACTCATCAATGAATAAAGGTCACCTAATAGAAGTATAATAAAACCAAAAAACAAAAATCCAAAAAGAGAATTAGCAATAGGTGATTTGACTTGCTGCATGCAGGGAGATGAAGTGTCTGCAAAGTTTATAGACTGCTTCAATTTCATAGCAACTACCTACATAAACTCAATTAATAAAAAATAATAAGGCATTTAGGTCAGTATTTACACAATGAACCTAGAACAAGCAAATAATGAATACTGAAGAAATATCACCAATATGCAATAATACATAAAACTCCAAACTATTGCAGCTTTAGTCAAGAGGGATCTAAAAAAGAGACACTTATTGGAAGCAGCACATAATAATGGGTTACAAAAGATGTGGTTGTCACTGAAAGGCTAGCAAAGGATGAGGCAAATAATACCGTATATTGCTCTGCACGCCTTTGCTGAGAAGCCAAAAATTGTAATCTCATGGATGCAACTGTATGAAGCAAGTCCAAAACGTAAACAGATATTGCATTGCAATATGCACAAAGAACCTGGAACTTACGAAATTACAGCTCTTGTCATTCAGTAGATCAACTCACTTTACTCATTAAACAAAAGCATCAACAGAAGCATATTATCATCTTTTAGTTATAATCATAATTTTCAGGTCGTTAGTCCACTAAATTGATTTTGGGAAAGGCTAAGGTTCACACCAGGCAACAAATTAACAATAATGAACACTCACCTATATGATCAAGGAGGCACATTTGATATTGAAAGCTTGTCAATATCACTCATACCAATTCAGAATAGTAAATAGCAAACTGATATTTGATGACAGCCATATACACATGCAATTATCAAAAATAAATAGTCAGAATCCGAAATATACATACATAAGAGAGAAACAGGGAAAAAAAGTTCACACAAATAATTCACAGCTCACAAAAATGGATATAGCAATTAGAAAAAAGTAATAAACAAAACAGAACAATCATCATAGCTAATACAAAGAGTAAATAAACTAGGATCTCTGAAGTCTTACCCCATGAATGAACCAAATCAACCACCCCAAATCAATATATCTTCTTATCCATTTATATGAAATTCCCCCAAAAAAACCCCATTAGACTACTCAAATACAATGTTCAGTACTGCTAGGTTTCAAAAATAATAAAATAAAAAAATCAATATTGCTAAACAAAACCCATTAGCCGTTTAATTCCAAGAGTTACCAGAGCAGAAACTTCACCTTCCATGGCATCAAATACAAATTCCCAAAAGCAAAAGCAAAAACTTCAAATTTAATTTTCAAAAACGAAAATTCGTTGTATACCTTGAAAAGAATTTCGAGCAATCAGCTTAAGGAAGGGACATGCAAAAATGAAATTGAGACCGCTTGTTCCGCTATCAGCCACCACCGCCTGACCGCCGCTATCAGCCACCACCTCCTGATTGCCGCCTTTGTCTACTTCCTCATATTTATTTGCTTATTTTCAACTTCGAATTTTTTCGTGATTTTCACCTCAGAATTTCGAAGTAATTCTGGAGCTGAAGCAAATATGTGAATGTGAGAAGATGGGAAAACTGGAGAATTTGGGGAAATGGAGAAAATGGGAAAAATTGGAGAAAATGGGTGATGTGAGAATGGGTAGATTGGGTACTGTGAGAACTGTGAGAATCCGTGAGAATGAGTTGTGAATAAACATGTGATGTTCAAAATATTTGGTGAAAAAATTAGAGGGAAGAAATGCGCACTTTTAAAATTTTCATGATACGACATATTCCATTGCATTAGCTCTCATTTTAGTTATAATAGCTAGGCTATTGCAACGGTTTTTTAGAGCCGTGGAAATAGATCTACCTCTAAGAACATTAGTTTTAAATCCGTGGCAATAGCCTACTCTATTGCAACGGCAATTAAAATACCGTTGTATTAGCCTTTATTAGGCCGTTGCATTTGGTCAAAAATGTAATAGTGTGACAAAACCTTAAAAAGAGATCCTCTTGTTAATAGTGTTAATATTATCCGATTCGATAATATTGACCAAAGTTTGGACACGTGGGTGGACCTTGTTGGAGGAGTTGCATTTAAGGCTCTTGCTCCGTTCGTGTTCGTGCTAGGTTAAAAACACGCTTCAAGGGTATAAACGTCTTTTCCCTCCTCTCTCTCTCTCTCTCTCTCTATTATGTGTTTATTATTTTATTAATTATATGTATGTTTTAGTTTAGTCGCTTTAATTTATGCATGTGGTCCTTGGGCGGATTTTGGTTCCGCGTGATGTTCGCACACCGTAAAATCCAACAGCGGTATCGCGGGCCTCATGCATTTAATTTTTGCGACAAAAATTAATTAAGGTGATTTAAAATAAATTTAAAATTCTGGATTAGCAACCTAATTAGATTAGGATCTTGGATTTATTAGATAAAATTGTTTTATTGTTAATGTATGACGAACCCAGATTTTGACTCAAAAATAGTGATTTTTGGGTGGAATCGATGTTCTAAATCGACCTTTACCCATAACGTGTTTCAAAAATGGCTTCCAGTGGTCAAAATTTTCCCAGAAATGTGTTTCTTGAATGGTTTTTTTCTTTAGAACTAGAAAAGTTCAAATCGTTAAATCTTGATTAATTATTGCATATAATTAGTGGATTATGGCATTAATCAACTGCAATTATATTCCTTAATAAGCATGTTTTGATATGATTTGGTTGCTTAATTTGGATGGCTCTAAAATTTACATAAACTTTGAAATTGTTCATTTTTGCAATTAGATTGCTTAAAATGTATGAGTTTATGTTAAATGTGATTTTTAAACCCATAAATAGTCAATGATTGAATCTTTAATGGTCTATTAGTTGAATCATGATTTGCTAAAATCCAAAATGAACATTCTTTGAGTTTTAATCATTTTGGAAATTGATTAAAATCATGAATGTTCATATTTATCCTTGAATATTATTCTTCATTTGAAAGTTGAAATATTCAAATATCCATGATTATTTGTTGGATAAATTATTATCATTAGATGATTGATTAAATTATTCAACTAGTTTCGTCAAATTCATAATTAATTTTAATCTTTGGATAAATTAATTATGTAGCAAGCCCTTATAGTTTGATTGCATCAAATTGACCTAAAATAATTAAAGAATGGTTATTAGAAATAATTTTTGTTTTTGCAGTAAACTTGGATTAATTAAGTTAGACTTGATATTAATTCAAATTGCTCAATTGTTAATTCTAAAATTAAATTTGGAATTAATTAAAGTCACACAAATATTTGGGATTGAAAATCCCAAAGCACACAAAAATCGAGGCTTGAAGCCTCGAGCTCCACTCTTGGCCTACAACGGCTGCTTGTGCAGCCTGCATTAATGTTGTTGTCGAGGTGCGTGATTGTATGAGGCTGTGTGCGAGCAAAATGTGCGGAAGGGGTGTGTGTGATGCGATGCGGCCAGCACCACTTGCTGCGAGCACTAGAGCACACAAGGGGCGCTGCTAGCACCAGCAACAGCATGCAAGCATGCTAGGCATGCTGTGCAGTTGTGATGTTTGCGATTGCCTTGGTACGCTGATAAGCTCATGTTGCTAGCCCCGCACGCAAGGCAAGCTAGGCATCCTAGCAGCCCCTAGCCTTTGGCATGGGAGGTAGGTGCTTGGCTTAGTTTTTGCGGTTTTGCGGTTTTTTTGTTTAAAAAACGAGGCTAGGCCTCGTTTTTTCATGTAATTGCAAATTTATAATAAAAATGACTTGATTCTCTTAATTAAAAATTAATCGAATTAATTTAATTAAGTTGGATGTGGAATATAGTAGGAGCTTCATTAGTCGGTTTTGAGCTCGTAAAGCTTTAATTATGCTTATCATTATTACGTTAGTTCACATAATTGGATAAACACTTGACTAATTTTAATTAGGAATGTTAATCAGATTAACAACCTAAGTTAGTAACTAGTGCGCTCTTGTTTGATACAAGTTTTGTATTATTGCTCGTATTGTTTGTAAAAATTGCATGGGCCGTTCACTTTAGAAGTGAATGGGTGAATGGAATATAATAAATGTTCTTATGCTGGATTTTACAAAAGTGAATAGTATAGCCCAACTAGGATAGAAAAATATGTACTGCGTTCCGTTATGTATTTTTGTAAATCTAAATACGGAATGCGTGACGTTAATTATTTTTGTACTTAGTTAGTTTAGATTACTCCTAGTATCTAGTTCTTGCATGCTTGATGGTGATGTCAAGAAAGATGGCATTTCTTTGAAGATGGAGCCTAAAGGTGCCAAATGCCCTTGAAGATTGAAGATTGGATGCTTCAAGATATCTTTCAAGGGGTCATGCTAGTTCACAATGCATTTTATATATGTCGATTTATATTGCTTATATATCTTAATATTTAGATGCATGTTTAGGAATTCAATGTTGAATGACTAGCTAAGTTCACTTAAATCAAACCAACATAGAAACCCTAAGTCCCAAAGAAAACTGAGTTAAGAAATTTCCATTCCAAAATGATACTTACTAAAAATTTGAAAGTAGGTGATGGGTTACGCCAAAGCAAGGCATCATCACTTTCTCAGGGACGTAAGGTATATTAGATATAAGTGTTAGTTTTGGTTAAACTCAAGGTATATTAGATATACGCATAAGTTATATTAGATATACGTGTTAGTCCTTAGATATTGTGGCAAACGAGATTAGTGTCAAGAATGCATTGGATGCGATGACTTATCAAACCAAGAATAGTTTAGAACTATTAGCGATTGGACTGCTTACCTTCAAATAATAAGTGTCAAGACAAGACAAATCATGCTTAATCACTTATTGATTTTTGGGATCTTGGAATCGTTTTGTCCTCGCCTAAATGGGACAAACTTATAAATGTGTGAATAAACGTCAATAAGATAGAATGTTGCAAGTATGCTTTATATTTCAAACTTATTGGTTTATGAATGGTTATTCATTACAATTCTTTTCATTTATAGTACAATGTCTGCAACTAACACCAATAACAACCAGTTTTCTCTCTGCTTAATTCTCGACAGGGAGAAATTGAGTGGAACCAACTTCCTCAATTGGCAAAGGAATTTGAGGATTGTTCTTATGCAAGAACAATAGGAGTACATACTTGACGAAGAAATGCCTGCCACTCCAAATGAGGAGGTAACACAGGCTGCCCTAAACCGATGGATTGTTGCTAACCGGGATGTCAAATGCATCATGCTAGCTACAATGTCTCCAGATCTTCAAAAGACATTTTTTGAGAAGGAGATGACTTTTGAGATCATATCTGAACTTCAGAATATGTTTCAAGAGAAGGCTAGGACCGAAAGGTTCGAAACCCATCGGCAAATTCTTGAGAGCAAGCTCAAGAAAGGAGAGCCCATTAGCCCTCATGTACTCAAAATGATTGGATTATTTGAGAACATGGAGAGGCTTGATGAGGGTTACTCAAACGAGATGGCAATTGACATTATTCTCCACTCGCTGCATAAAGGTTATGATCAATTCAAGATGGACTATAACATGCAAAACATGGAAAAAACCCTCACAGAGCTTCACAAAATGTTGAAGCAGGCCGAGAAAACGCTCAAATATGAGGGGAAGCATGACGTGCTTATGGTAAAAAAGGGAAAGCCATTCAAGCGATCTGGCAAGAAGTAAGGCTATAAGGGGAAGGGTAAGAAGACCATTCTACCTAAGCCAAAAGCTACCAAAGGCGACAAGCAAAAAAAGATAGTCTCTTCTCCGTCCGACTCCGAATTATTTTACTGTAAGAAGAAGGGGCATTGGAAACGGGACTGCCTCAAGCTCAATAAGGATAAGAAGAACGACATTGTTGCTTATGGATCAAGTATATACGTTATAGAACTTAACTTTGCTAGAAATGCTTCATGGGTATTAGATACCGGATGTGGCTCACACTTATGTTCCAATTCTCAAGGACTAAGGAAAAGTAGAAAGCTAGCGAAGAGAGAAGTTCAGCATCAGGTAGGCAATGGAGCAAGGATTGTTGCCGTATCCGTAGGAATACTCAGTTTGTCTTTGCCCTCGGGCCTTGTTTTAGAACTAGATGAATGTTATCATGTTCTAAATATTCCCACAAACATTATTTCAATTTCGGCGTTGGTCGCCAAGGTTTTTGAATTTCGGATAAGGGACAATAGTTGTTTGTTTTATCTTGATAATGTTTTTTATGGTACAACATATTCAGAAAATGGTCTTTATGTGCTTTCATTAGACAAACGGGTTTACAATGTTGACAATGCCGCTAAAAGGGTTAAGATAATTGGGTCAAATCTAACATACTTGTGGCATTATCATCTAGGCCATATAAACATGAAACACATTAAGAAACTTCTTAACAGAGGCATTCTTAATTCATTTGACTTAAAGTCATTTGAAAACTGAGAAGGATGTTCACTTGGTAAGATGATAAAACAACCCTTCTCCAAGTTAGGAGAAAGGGCATGTGAATTATTGTGTCTCAAACACACGGATGTATGGGAACCAATGAGCACAATTGCTAGGAATGGTTATCGCTATTTCATCACATTCACGGACGACTATAGTAGATATAGTTATGTCTACCTAATGTTGCATAAATCTGAATCCTTTCAAAAGTTCATAGAATTTCAGAATGAAGTGGAAAATCAGCTGGGTAAGAAAATCAAAGCCCTTCGATCAAATCGAGGAGCCAAGTATTTGAGCTACGAATTCTACGATCATTTAAAATAACATGGTATTCCCAGAATTAACACCTCCCAAAACTCCATAATGGAACGAAGTGTCCGAGAGGAGGACTTGAACCTTGTTGGACATGGTTCGGTCCATGATGAGTCTTGCCGATCTTCCTATTTCTTTTTGGGGACATGCACTTCAAACTGCTGCACGAACACTAAACCATGCTCTGTCAAAAGCTGTCAAAAAGACTCCATATGAATTACCGACGAAGAAACCTCCATGGTTGTCTTTTCTTAAGATTTGGGTTTACGAAGAATGTGTCAAGAGACACATGACTGGCAAGCTTGGAAATTTTAAAAATGTTTCTTTGTGGGGTGTTTAAAATAAACAAGGGGGTATTACTTCTAAAACCAATCTAAGAACAAAGTATTTGTTGCTCGAGATGGTGTCTTTTTGGAAAAGGAGCATCTTTCCAAAATGACAAGTGGGAGGAAAATCGAACTTGATGAAGTTCGAGAGGATGAGCAATAAATCGAATCTGACAATCAAAAGGGCTTTGGAAGAAGTCGTTGATAAAATTCAGAGTCAAACCGATAATGTTAATGCTCAACCTATAACCCTGCGAAGGTCACAAAGGCCAAGATCTCAACTAGACAGATACCTCGGTGTTGTCTTAACCAAGAATCAAGACATCCTAGTTAGGGATGGCGATGGGCCAGCGACATACAAACAAGCTATGATGAGCCCTGACTCTGCTAAATGGCAAGAAGCCATGAAATATGAGATGTACTTCATGTTTGAGAATCAAGTTTGGGACTTGGTTGATTTGCCCGAAGGCTACAAACCTATCGGTTGCAAATGGATTTTCAAGTTGAAAACTGACAAAAATGGAGTTGTGTATATATACAAAGCTACACTGTTTGCAAAAGGTTACGGGCAAATTCATAGTGTTGATAATGATGAAACCTTTTCACCAGTTGCAATGCTTAAGTCCGTCCGGATTATCTTTGCAATTACCGCATATTATGGTTATGAAATATGGCAAATGGATGTCAAAATTGCCTTCTTCAATGGAATTTTGGAAGAGTTTGTGTAGATGACATAGCCTGAGGGTTTTGAAGATACAAATAATGTTGGGAAGGTATGCAAGCTTAAAAAATCCATTTATTAATTAAAGCAAGCTAGCAGGAGTTGGAATCTACGATTTGATGAAGAAATTAGCAAATTTGGCTTCAACAAGAATCTAGATAAGTCTTGTGTATACAAGAAGGTTAGTGGGAGTGACATTGCATTTCTAGTCTTATATGTTGATGACATATTGCTCATTGGGAACAACATTCCAATGCTGGATTCTGTAAGGACTTGGCTTGGAAAGTGTTTCTCAATGAAAGACTTGGGACAGGCACAATACATATTGGGCATCTAAAAGGATGATTGGATTAAGCCAAAGTACTTACATCGATAAGGTTCTAGCACGGTTCCAAATGGAGGGCGCCAAGAGAGGCCATCAACCCATGTCTCATGGTGTAACTCTCAACAAGAGTCAGTGTCCAAAGACACCTAATGAGCGAGAGAGAATGAATCAGATCCCATATGCTTCGCTAATAGAATCGATCATGTACGCCATGATATGTACAAGGTCGGATGTATCATATGCCTTAAGCGCTACGAGCCGATACCCATCAGAACCGGGAGAGGCACATTAGACTGCGGCTAAGAATATCCTAAAGTAACTGAAAAGGAACAAGGATAAATTCCTGGTCTATGGTGGGAGTAAGGATTCGGTTGTTGAAGGTTATACCGACGTGAGCTTCCTGACTAACAAAGACGACTTAAGATCACAATCTGGATACATATTCTGTCTAAATGGCGAAGCGTTTAATCGGAAGAGTGCTAAGAAAATCATTGTTGCAGATTCTACAACTGACACTACTAGAAAACAGGCAAATTTTGACGGACTAGTTCCGACAGACACGAAATTCCGTCGGAAAAAGAAAAATTTCCGACGGATTTATGTTCCATCGGAAATTTCTAACGAATTCAACAATTCCATCGGAAATTTCCAACGGAAATAAAATATGTCGGAATATACGTGCTTTCTGATGGATTTTTCCGTCTTAATTTACAAATTCCAATGGATTTATAGTCCGTCAAAAATTTCCGACAGAATTTTTCGTCAGAATATAATTAAAAAAAATAAAATCCTTTTTACCAAACCCTAAAACGCAGTCCCTTCCCCCTTCTATCTCCACCTCTCTATCTTTCTCTCTCCTCTTCTTCTTTTCTCTTTCGTTCTCTACTCTTTCTCCTTCACTTTCTCTACTCTTCTCCTTCTTCTTTTCTCTCTCCTTCTCCTTCCCTTCTCCTTTTCTTTCTTTCTCTCTTCTCTTCTCCTTCCCTTTCTCTCTTCTCTTTCCTCTTCTCTTTGTCGCCGGCGTGGGGTTGGACTGTTCACGACGCCGATTGGTCTTCTTTCTCGTCGTTGTGGAGGTGCGCTGTTCTCTACAAAATTATGGTTATTCAAATTCGACCATGAAAACTCTAGATCTAGAGTTCTCATGGCCGAATTTAGCCATATTAAACCAAATTCGAGGTGACATTCAAAGTCAAATTTGATTTTAAAGGTATGTTTTCTTGTTTTTAATTTTTTTTTTTTAATTGTTTTGTTAATTTTTGGGTTGTGGTTTTAGTTTTGGGCGGTTGTGGTGGGTTGATTTTGGTGGGTAGTTGGTCAGAATAAGTAGGGTTAGGGTGGTAGTTCAGGGTTTTTTTGGGTGGGTTTAGGTGATAGATCTGGGTTTAGTTGGGTGGTTTAAGGTGGGTGGGTTCGGATTAGGTGGGTTTAGGTGATAGATCTGGGTTAGTTGGGTGGTTTTACGTGGGTTAAGGTTAGGTTAGTTAAGGTGGTGGTTCTGGTGGGTGGGTTCGGGTTAGATGGGTTAAGGTGGTGGGTTAGGGTTAGGTGGGTTAAGGTGGTAGGTCTGGTAGGTGGGTTCGGGTTAGGTGGGTTAAGGTGGTGGGTTAGGGTTTAGTGGATTAAGGTGGTGCGACTGGTAAGTTAAGGCAGGTTAATTGGTTACGCGTGGTGGCGGTGGGGGCTAGAAGCGGTGGTGCGTTGAATTTATTAAAAAAAATTCTTCGTTGGAGTTTCCGGTGAATCCTACGAAAGTGAGTTAGTGTATATTCTTGTCCCCTTCTTTTCCTTTTTCTTTATTTGAAAAAATCTTTCATCCTACTCCTACTTGCTTTTGTTTTCGCTCGAGGATGAGCAAAAGTTTAGCTAGGGGGAGTTTAATGAGTGCCATTTATGGCACTCAAATGGAATTATTTTGGGATGATTTTAGTTGCTTTAATAGCTTTATTTATGCTTTTTCCTTAGTTTTAGTCTTTCATTCTCTAGTTGGTCTCATTCTAGTCTTTTCTACCTTTTTCTTATATTTTTGTAGATTTTACCATCTTTTCCCTTTTACTACTTTTCCTTTTTTTATTTTTAGGACTAAGGTGAAGTCCAAGGCCCTTCATGGTGATTCCTCGGGTTAGAAGATGCTCAAAGTGCAAGGTGGAAGCTCTCGTGTAGCTCACAAAGTAAGGGATGGCTTACTCCAAGATTTGATGCTTACGCCCTCATGCTGCACTCACATGAAAGTATGGTGTTCAACCCACCGTAAACTCATTTTAAGACTGCCATCGCCAATGACGATCAAGAGGAGCACACCCCTTACATTGAAGAATGCACGAAGGACGTCCCCTGTTCTAGTGGCGGGGGCGCGCATTCATTGAGCGCGGGCGTGCCACCTTAGCTCCCTGTTTTGTACCCCATTTTTCGCGACCGCACATTCCGGAGAGAGGGCACGCCTGTACGGGTTTCTTTTGCACGTCCACTTTATCTCTCCTTAGTTAGTTTTACTATATATAAGTTTTCCTTCTAATTTTAGAGAAAGAAGTTTTTTGGAGTTAGTTTTCTAGTTCTTAGATTTTAG